AATTTGTGTCTGTCCGTCTGATCTGACCTTTCCCTGCGCCTCGGGGGCTAAGTCCGAGTCCACTGTTCCCATGACAAGGCAGACCAGCCAACTCCCCACAATTCCCGCTGACAGTGGTCCATTAAAGCAGTCATAAGTGAGTAAGAGTGGGCCTGCATCTCTCGATGCAAGATCGGGCATTACGACTATGTCGTAAACCCCGGCCGGGAAAATTCTCACATTTACACGGCAATAAACAGCTAAAAGAAAGTCAATTACCACTGTATTTGAACGCTACCCGCAGTTGGAAATCCGACTCATGTTTATAGAGTTTGTTAACTGTGTTTGCGTTAAAACTAAAAGTTGTCAATTGCTTTGCTAAGTACAAGCTTAAATATGCCAAATAACCTGATGAGTCATTCAACCGTACACATTAAAGCAGATAAAAAAATAAGAATTAGAAATTAGAAATTTTACTTTTAGAAACTTAATTGTATTCTATAACCGAAAAAAATGTGAATGGGGCAGCAGGAATATGAAATTAAATGATAGTAAATAGATGTTTGACTTAATTTGGAAGCTCAAAAAACAAGAAAGTCAAAAATTGTATTTTAAATATGATGGTAGTGCTGAAGTAACATTAGCAGTATTTACAATAGTAGTTTTACAATAGCAGTTTTACAATAGCAATATTTAAAAAAACGTTTTTTCGTCAGATTAATTTAATGTTGACCCTTACATGGATATAAAAACTTCTCATAATCTAAATAATTTTGATATGTTGGGGTATTTTTAATTGCACTGATAAAATTCTTGTTATTATCCTTGTTCTGCAAGAACGACCATATTAAAGCCTTACTTAGCAAGAGCAACTAGGTTTCGACGTCTAGGGCTTTAAAAACTTCTCTCATCTCTTGGCCTTAGGTTTTTTTTTGAACTGGGCCAAAGAAATGACGCCCACTTGACTCTCTGTTGCCGCTCTGTAAGTTAGAAATAAAGATATTAAGTGGCAGTTGCAGTTTGTTTTGCGGTTTCACTCCGTGATTGACTGCAGTGCCATCAGTATTATCATTGGCATGGTGGGAGTTTGTTGTCATTTTTTGTCTCGGTGTATGTCAACACCCACTCGACGGTAATGGTAATGGTAATGGCCATGGCAATGGGAATGGCAATTGGGAGTGCTAGGTCCGGCACTCACTTCGTCATCCGTTCGTTGAGTCGTTCATTCATGCAGTTTTTGAGTTGGGTTGTAAGTTTGTTGGCCGTAGTCTTGCATTTTCCAGCTGCAGCGCTGCACGCGCCGCGGCAGTGAATGTTGTTGTCTATGATGGAAAAGGAAAATCTAACCTGAACTTTCTTTTTTTGTGTACTGCTGCAGTGTCAGCCACAATGGCAACTGCGATATAAATAAAATATAAGTACACACATTTATATATATATAGTATTATATATTCACGCTCTGCAACTCGTTTCACAGCCACAGATTTCGGCGTTTAAGGTCTGCAGCTGAAACCCGTTGGGCTGTTTTGGATTTTACTCTTCATTTTTACCAGACAAAAGCAAAGGCAACCTGTTGATTTGGGCCGCCACAACAATAGAACAACAAGCGGTTCACAGGCCTTATCCAATCCCGATGCGATGCACTCTTGGTTTCAGCCTGGGAGGCCATTCATATGGGCGGGACTCGGATTCGAGGTCTGCGGGGTGAAATGCAGTGAAAGTGTCGTTTCTCATGATTTCAGCATGCAGCAACTCCCAAAGCAGCGAATATAAAAATTTAATTAAATGTCAAATAATTCAACATTCGGCGCCTGAGCACATTTGCATCCCTAAATGCACTGGTAGAAGAGGATTTTAATTATAAGCAAGAGAAAACGCTATAGTCGGTAGCCTCGACTTTTAGATACCCGTTACTCAGCTTAAGGGAGTGCGAAAGCGATGGAGATATGCTTGCAGCAAATCTGCATTTTTTCACTTGCGCCACCTAGCTTATAGCGTAACCTAGCCTATAACGCCTTTAGCGGCTTGGTGGCGTATTACTGAAAACATTTTTTTTTTGCTGCATGTGGTGTGCAATTTCGATAGAATTTGCAAAATATTTATTATTATTTGGCTATAACTATTTAATGACTAGGTCAGTTTTAATAACTTTTGGCATGTAAATTTATACAAAATATAAAAAAACGAGGGCGCCAGACGGGATAAGTGTTATGATCGTTTGTGGGCGTGACACTCTGCTGAAAGAAACTTGCGCTGCGCAAGAAGCCCAAGAATCTGCATGCCAATCCCCAACATTCTAGCTCTTATAGACAGACGGACAAGGCTAGATCTACTCCTCTAGAGATGCTGATCAAGACTATATATTCCTTTTAGAGTCGGAAACTAGTCCACCTATTTATTACATACTTTACGACGAATCTAGTATACCCTTATATTCCACAAGTAACGATTATAAAATAAAGTATAAGAAATTAAATTAACAAAAACTTACTTGATACTTGATTAATATTGAGGTACTTATATTTCCGTGTTTTCTACGTAATACTGTTTTTAACTTTTCAATAGTAAAACTGTTTGTGTTTGAAGACTTAATTAATACACACAAAGAAAATGTATTGGTGTGCTATTTCATGGATAGCTATGTAAATTAAATAAATAATTTAAACTTTTAAAAACAGTAGTTTGTATTTTGGGGTTACTATTTAAACTTGGTTGTGGGGGGAGGGGGTTTAGAACAACGTTTTTGTTGCATACTTTTGAAAAGCCGAATTTTCATAAACTTTTCACCCGAGTGCTATGGGACTTAAAGGCTTTTTGTATGTGCAGGGCCGTCAACCAAAGCCGAAAAAAGTTTTAATTCTTGTTTCTATTCAATTCTAGGAAAAACACGAAGATCATTTTAAAAAGAATTTTTTACGAAATTATGCAAGTTTCGTTAAAGATTTCTTTAGTGGACTTATCATTTCGGAATATTTTCTTTCTGTGAACTTCAGTCGGAGATTCACGCAATGCGTGGCGGTTCCCTGCCAACAGATGCATACGAGATTCGCTTTCACTGGGAAAAGACTGTCTGAGCTGAGCTTTGGCTGATCTGGAAAAGCGTTTTCACACCGCTCGGCCGCCGCTGCTGGGGCCCAATTCATAAGCCCATTTTCATTGCATTTTCACACATTCATAACACTTTAATTAACTATTTTCAACACTTTCGTGGGGTCCGCTGCGCGGCACTCGCATCCTGCTCGCGGTCATTTGCCGAGATTCGATGCGATCCATGAATCTGTGGATCCACTCGCACTTCGCATTTTAAAACTCTCTCGCCCGGGGATGAGATGATGACTTTCATTTGCCTGGGCTCCTGGTCACTGTCTATTTGCGTACTTTTACCTGTCCCAGCCAGTTAGTTAGTCACTTTGGCCAGTAACTTAGTTAGTTGGGGACAGCTGTGGGTCGCGCTACTGGTGTTTGCAAGTCGATAACTCAGCCTGCTGGACGCCAGTGGTGTGCTTTGCCAGTTGGCCATGGCAGCTGTTTGTTTTGGCCGCATCTATTTGACAACGCATAAAATTTGCACATCCATCGTGAAGAAGGGCAGACCACCGCATACCACACATTTCTCGCAGATGTATCCGCGACTTTCCCTTTTCTGAATGGGGTTATGATTATTATTATTGGCACTGTCACTGCTTTCTGGTCGCTGACTTGGTTGTGGCATAGATTCCCTGCCCTCAGAACGTGATCGGTTTTTTCGAAATATCTAATGACCACACACAGAGAAAAATAAACCGAAATCAATTTGTCATTGTCATCTTTATTTTAACATGACGTTTTTCAGCGGTCACAAGAATCATATCTTGACCATGTCCAAGACATCTCGATCCCAAGAGACGATTTCCAAAAGATAAATTTCATGGCCTAGCAATTTATGCTGAGTACAAAAGTGCACTGGTTATAAAATGCTTAATTTTCATAAAAATATTAAGCAAATAATTTAAACTATCATAATTAAGTCTTTTTTTATCCTTCTAAGCCTTGTATTAAAATAGCATTAGTTTTATCAACATAAAATATGTTCAAAACACAACTTAAAACAAATTAAAAGTGATTAATATTAGTATTAAAAAAAAAAAATTTAGAAAAGTATTTGTTTGAATTTATTTTTAACCATTTCTTATTTTAAAAATTTAATTTACTTATGTTATGCTTAACAGAACCGCTAAAAAAACTCAAAATGTTGTATAAAAACAGCTAAATAAAAAATAAATTTAAACTATTTTGAAAATAGATGTTAGTCAGAGTTCAAATTTAGACGTTGGTACTAAATCCTGCTTATAATTTAATAACTGTAATATGCCAGCTGTTGTGAAAATGTGACTTCATGGTTACTTTTGCTAAAACCTAGATACGAAGTTAAATATATCGTTTCTGGAATGACAGTCTTTGAACATGCAAATTTACCGTCCTGTTCACCTGAGCGGCTCGCTCCAGACGCTCGACTGAGCTTGAAAGGGAAATGCTTTTACTTACTTTTACAAAAACTCATTTTCAATTAAAGCCCGGACAATTAAGATTACGACTACGATTTTCGGCACTTTTGGCCCGCTCTCCCGGCGGGTAAAAGTAGCTGGCCGTGGCAGTGGCTGTGTTTATTCGCTGGTTTCCCAGCGGCAGGAGGCTGCGACTGTTGACAATGTTACATGAACTTCGGGCGAAAGCAGCGCAGCGGCAGCGACAGCTTACAAATTACAGTAACAATGCTTTTCCAGCTGTCGCTGCCCGGGCCGCTGCAGCGCTGCCGCCGTCGGCGCCGGCGTCGACTGCGCATTACCGTTGGCTGGCCAAACGAAAGACTTAAGCGAGAAACTTGCACGACTAGTTTGGGGGAACCGCCGCCGGTGGCCAGGGGGCGGGTGGGGCGGAGAAATGCTTTCGCAGCAGATGAGCATGCCGATGCCGAAGTCGCTGCCACTGCCGCCGTATATAAATTGTCGTGTGCGGTGGAAAATTGTATCATTCAATCCTTAACCGTCTGAGCAGCTATACGGCAGCAGCAGTCAGCCAAGACCGAAAAACACACAAAAATACAGTTTTCCATTCAAGAGAAAGTGCGTTCGCCGCCGAACTACGTGAAAGTGTAGTGTGGACCCACAAAGGACTATCCAAAAGAACCCAATTCGAAAACCGTGCAAGAACAACTAAAAAAACCAACCAATTCAAAACGCAAAATGGCAAGCCATAAAGTTACTTTCGGTGTCTTGTGTCTGGTCGCCCTGAGCGCCGCCCTTCCCGCCGAGGAGACGCGCGGCCACGCCCGCAACGCCATCGGCGGCGAGAACGACATTATGGATAGCATCTACAGCGACTGCCTGCGCAAGGACTCCGTCTCGTGCGTCAAGTACAAGCTGTTCAGCTTCGTGGACAAGGTCCTCGGCGCCCGCGACCAGTTCGCCCTGACCGAGGGCGTGACCGTGGTCCGCTCGCCGGACGCCCCGCAGCAGGAGGCCGCCCGCTCCATCTCCGGCGACGAGTCGTTCGAGTCCCTGGCCCTGAACCGCATCAGCAGCTTCCTCAACTCGCACACCATCAAGGTGGAGCTGAAGGGCGCCGACATCGTGCAGGCCGTTAGCTCCACAGGCCGCGCCCTCGAGGACGCCTCCGAATCGCTGTTCGGCTCCAACGACCCCAACGCCCCCGAGGAGAGCCGTGGCAAGAAGAAGAAGGCCGCCAAGATCCTGGGACCCATCCTCGCCCTGGTCGCCTTGAAGGCCGCCGCCCTGCTGCCCCTGCTCCTGGGCGCCATCGCCCTGATCGCCGGCAAGGCCCTGCTCATTGGTAAGATCGCCCTGGTGCTGTCCGCCGTGATCGGGCTGAAGAAGCTGCTGTCGCAGGAGAAGCACGTGACCTACGAGGTGGTGGCCCACCCACACCACAGCAGCAGCCACTCAGCGAGCCACGACTCGTACGGCAGTGGCTACAGCGCCGATGCCGGAGCCTCCTCGGCCTCCTACGGCAGCAGCGGTCACGGCGGCTGGGGACGCTCCATCGACGCCCAGGACCTGGCCTATGGTGCCCAGAAGCCCGTCCAGGCCTAAGTCACAGGATCACCAGCGCAAGCACACCACAAATCAAAATCACTCAAGAAGAAGAATCAGAATCAGAATCGCGAACACACACGAGACTCTCGATGAGGAACACACATTATTTATCGTTCGTTTTAATTAATTTATTAATTTAATTTATTTTATTTATTTCTCCAAGCAATGAAAACGAAAAAGAATGAATCGCACACACGCAAGATAATGTTAAACCGGACAGAAACCAGAACAGAACAGAATCAGAACCATATATGTTAGTTGTTAAAACTGATGAAGCTAAAGTTAAGTTTGTAAAAAGAGCGGCCAGCGAGAGTTACCCCACAAGTTGCAAATACTCAGCCTTAAGTCTAAGCTCGCACAGCACTTCCCGAACCATCAGCACCTCGATCACCCGACTGCATCTATTCGTAATGCACTCTCATCTGTCAGTCTATATCTATATCTATAGCTACAACTACATCTACATCTACATCTCCATCTATTTCTATCTTTCTATCTGTGCTTCCATCTTAAACTGCATACTGCCTATACCAAAACTCTGCCGATTGCCATGCAATCGAAGCAACGTACAAATCCTAACTCTACAATCTATACCTGTACTCTATACTCTGCCTGTTCAACTATGTTCTTCACATGCAATTCTAGTCTTACAATACAACACCAGCAACAAGCATGCCTACTATTAGCTTTAACTCCTCTAGCTCTAACTCTACGTCTTTCTCTATCTCTATCTCTACCTCTATCTCGATCTATGCTATATCTTCTGAAAAACTATCCTACTCTATCCACGACTATCCTTCATTTTCTCGCCTTCAACTGAGTCATAGTTTTGGTCATTCGCATGCCATCACTTGCCATAGGTCTCCGAACACACATCGCCACACCAAACTGAACTCATTTTCCGGCTCTACCTCGGAGCCACTATTTCCTCACTCGACACTCGACTTCCACTTCGACTCTTCAACTTTCTCATTTCTCCTATCTGCCATCTCTTTCCGCCGTCCTCTGCTGCCTCTGCATCTGTCACTTTCTAGCGCTCTACTTTCCCAAAAAACAAAGCCCACTACTACTCACACACCCAGTAATTCCCCGTAATGTTAAACATATTTTTTTTCAATATCTTAACTCCTTAAGCGTACTTTATGCATCCGAGCGACTCGAAGCGCTTGTCGGCCCGATTGGTGTCGGGCTCACCTGCCCTGTGGACCTAAACAGATTTTTAATTATCAACTTAAAAATACCTTGTTTATGACATTTGGAGGGCCCTCTAGCCAGCGGCCGCAAGTTTCGAGTCGCCAGCACGGCGTCTACTTTAATTTAAATATTTTAAGCAAAGTCGTACGGCGCTTTCACAACCTTATAACTCCGGCAACAGTAGTAAGATGACGATGAAGACGAAGAAGAAGCGTGAAGCTGCAGAAGTGGGCAACTCACACAGATCACAAACTCTCTCACAAAAGAATGTAAATTCCATAGACTACAATACCCCCTCTCTCTGTCACACATGCATGTCATTAAACAAAAAATGATGAAAAACATAACACAAAAAAAGTTGAAAAAACACCAGCAAGGAAGATTAATAAATAAAAAATCAATGAAAATCAAGACAAGTCTCTGTAATTTATGGCATACCACGGGGTGAAAGCGAAACGACAAAACCGAAAGCTTTATGCATAATTCCCAATCGAAGACGAAAACTGGCCGTTGACAAGTCCATCTTGGGCCGAAATGCTTTCATTTCAAGTGAAATTGATTTGCGACCCAGTTGCCCCAGCGAATTTCAGAGATTGCCCGTTAATAGGTGTAAATAATTATGACCGGGGTCTGGCCAAGACAGGTTAACGAAAATCCAATAAGCCCCGCTGGCTTCTGACGGCCACAGAAACAGAAACGGCCACAGCCAGAGCAACTCGAGCCACCGACAGTGAAAGTAAACAGTTAGGAAACCGAAACAGCAGCCCAGACCCCAGTGGAAAGCCTCTGAAATCGTGGCACATGGCCAAGACCAAAAAGCGTTTTCCAAGCCGCTCTAAATGTGGCCAAGTTGCCGCTGCCCAGCGAATGCCCGGCGAAAACAAAAGACAGGTTAATGCGCACTAATGTTAACAGCTCATTTGAACAGCTGCCAGGCTTGAGCAAACATTGACTGACCACTGTCAGTCTTCTTTTTCGGTTTGTGGCCAACGCCGCTCACTTAATCAAATGGAAATTACGAAAATTTTGGGCTACGCTCGGCTGGAAATTATCTCAAAGAGACCGCTTGGTGCCACCAAATGTCAGGCGAGATGTAAGGAACAGCCATTTGGAGGATTTACACGGGATTAGGCATGCTTTATGGCTTTGGGGTGTTTTCGTTTTAATTTTCAGGGCGAGAGTGGTACTTGCCAGAGAGATTTATAATGGTAAGTAGAAAATACTTTTAATTGTCAGGTACGCATTTGACACAGAAGGAGGATATATACATAGGGAAATAAATTGGTTGTGATTATTAAGTTAAAAAACAATTTTTAATGAGGTATTTATACAATACCTACTGCTAAATTGTATGGCAATTTACTTTATTAACTTTCTGAGAAATTATTTTATTGAAAAACTACACCACTTACTAAAAGGTTTATTTAAAATCTAAGACAATAATTATTTATAGTATCCATTAGCTTCCAAATATTATACACAACACTTTAGTCGGCCGCCATGTCCCACAATATCCACAATCGCTATACAAAATTGTTAACGTTCTTCGGCTCCCATTTCGATTCTGATAAATTTCGTTTACTGCTGCTAAACATGGTAGTATATGCAAATCGGCTAACCAAAACGAAAGCCCCACTGGGTGATTTGGAGCGAGCAACGGTTGTGCCGCTAGAGAAACGCCGCCTCGGTGGCAGCCAAACTGGTGCAGCATCAGGACCACGCTGCACCACCAGCTGCAATTTCACATTCTGAAAAACCAGATAAGAAACCACAAAATTTGCAATAATTCATAAGAAGAGTTAATGGCGGGGGCACAAGGCTGAGGGGAGGACTTCGAATCGTGCAGAATGCCCAATTTGAAAGCAATTTCACTGTCAACCGAACGGGGGCAGTGGGGGGTTAAAGCCAAGTGGATGGGATGCCTGCAAGGGCGTCGTCGCAGAGCAGAATGTGTGCAGAATGCTCAGCGAAATGAAAACGAGTTTGGGCCAACTCCGACTCGGAAAGCAGGTCACCAGAACGTAGACAACAACCAGGGGCGGTCCCGAAGCCAAAGTTGATTGTCGGCCTTGCAGCACTGCGCTTTCCAGCAATCCAGCAGAAAGACAGCCGGGGACCAGAAGACAAAAATCAGCAAAAATGAAAATAAACGAAATGAAGAGCCAGATTGCCTGCCTGGCTAATAATATTATTAGGCGCTCGGCATTGCTGCCGCTGCCATCATTTTCCGCTCCAGCACGTTTTTCCCACACTCGACACTCGACAGACAAAGCACGCATCTGAATTTATGATTACACCAATTGTTGGCGCAGCTTTGCTCACCATGCATTAAATCAACTGAGTTTTCATTGCTTTTGATTAATTGAAAGTTAATTGGCCACGAGCCCGCAAAGCCGTGAAACAGTTTTGGCCACTCGAGCGTTTTCCCGGCACGCCTGATTGGCCGCCGCTTCTGCTGGCCATCGTCGCTTGTGGTCAATTTAAATTACGCTATGCAGTTAGCAACAATCGCTCGCAATTATCGAACGGCCGTTGCATCGCCTCAGCGGTTATGCCGCACATTGCGTGAGGACTTTGATTAGCAGGTCAATTTGCATTGAAGACCGCTTAATTGCTTTTGTCGCTGTCGAGCGGTAAGCGGCTGAGGCACTTTGTGTACTGGAGCTGTCCAAATCTGGGGTCGAAATGTAGGGCTTTTAGTTTATCGTATTGCCATGGCAATATTCCTGCAGGGATACGCCATATGAAAATTAACTGATTTTGTAAAGACCCTACACACAAAAAAATGCATTAGTCTAATTGACCAATGAAGTAGATACACGTACTTAAATTGTTTCTATTACTTAATGCGTTAAAACACGTTTTGTTTTTAGCCAGTTCAAAATGGTTTATACACTGTTTATAGAAAATTTAAGTAAAAAGAGTAAGCCATATTTCCTTATTTAGCTGTTTAAATACCAATTGCAAATGTGAATTCATCCTACATCGACTATAAGGCTGGGTGCACCTGACTTTCAGATAGTGGGTAAGTATGTGCGGACTGACAGAAATTATCTTTCGTTTTTCTTAAGCAGAGAGAAATATGCAAATACATTGTTCTTGAATTCAGAACATTCGTTCTTAAAAACCGTGTAAGTACATTTTGATATTAATGTTCTCAATACTAGAACAAAATGATGAGGATAGAAATGTAATATTATTTAACAACTTTATGATAAGTACATACTACTGACTGGACTAATAGTTTATTTGTTGAGATATTTTATGCAAATACCGCCAATTCAATTTGATTCGAGCAAAATAAAAACATTTTCAATTTAAAAATGTCGTTCTATTTTCAACTCAGATGAGAACGTTAGAATTTTCTCTGTGTAGGCTTTAACTTGTGTGTCTTGATTCACGCGGTGATGAAACCAGTTGTGAATTTTAACAATACCGAGAAGTTTCTATATAAAAGCACATAAAGAAACTATTTTAATAATACAATTACATACCCAATTGCTTTTAATTTGATTGTAATGTAACCATTAAATACTGAACCATTATAAAGCATATGTACCTCTACCTATTATATACTCACAATTTATATTTTTTGATAAAATTGCAATTGTAATATGTTCTTTTAAAATCATTTTTTTAATGACAACAAGAAATACTTATTTGTATCTAGAGTTTCCTTCCTCCTTATGGTCAAAAATAACTAAACCGAAAAGATGAATCTTGAAACATTGCGTACATTTTCTTATCTCTTTAGCACCTGCTTACAACATTTCCCACTTGATAAATATTTGAATGCTACCAGTTAATAGTTTCTGTTTTCACACCTCTTCGCCAACTTATTAACATTTCAATTATGATAAACGCCATCTATTGGCCATTTCACCAAAGCAGATAGGATTGAGTTCAGAGCTTTTCTCTACTTTCGTTAAGTGCGATCAAGTTCGTGTCTTAACTCTTTCGTTTCATGAATTGCACTTTTTCTCAGCAGCACCAAGAAGTAGGCAACAAAAAGTATTTGTGTCAGAGTGCATGAGAAAAAAGAAAAGTTTCGGCCAAATTGGGTGACGACAGTGAACTTGCCCCAAAAGGCTTTGAAAAACCGAAAATGCCTGTGTTTACGGTCTAGTAATTCGAATGCAAAGACAGTGAAGAATGGCAATGGCAGCGGCAGTCACGCACGAGCTCAATAGCTTAGAACGGGCTAAAAAGCGGGAATATAATTGCAAACGAAACTGCATTTCGGAGGCTTTCGCAGCGAAATCACGAAAGCGCAGCCCCACTGGCCAACAACATCTGGCTAATTGCCGTGATATTTAGACTAAGACAAAGAGTGTGTTTTGTGTTTTTGTGTTTTTCAATTTCAGGCAGCCGGCCGACATGCGATTTATTCGCCACAGGTATAAAATGCATAAGATCCACCGGCCAGCACTCAGTTGAGCATCCAAAGAGCAGCGCCCGGCGTCTTCTCCCCAGTTTGTGCCTCAGCTCAAGGACCGGCCAAGGATCCCGTTCTCGTCCAGCTTCGACTAGCATCACCCAGCACAGTCATGATCAAGTACGTGTGGCATGTGGCGGCCCTGATGATCGTCTTCTGCTGGCTTTCGAGTGCCCGCAGTGCCAGCTACCAGCATCAGAACCTGAACAGCCTCAGTTCGGGCCCCAAGCCCCAGGTCTCAGCCAATAACCCCGGAACGGGTTCTACGGGCTTCTGGAAGGACATGTCGATGGTTTACCGCATCTACCAGCAGTGCACGGGCGATAACATGTCCGTTTGCCTCAAGGTCAAGCTGCTAACCGGCTTGGAAAAGGCCTTCCGATCGGCCAAAACCCTGTCGCTCATGGAGGGCATTCAGTTTGTGAGTTCTGGCGGCGAAAGTGAGGAGGCGAAAAGGGCTCCCATCAACGAACAGGACATTGAAGCCGTCTTGCCGAGGAGCGTGGACGCCAAGGAGCAGGTCCTCAACAACATGATCCTCAAGCGGGTGGGCAACTTTCTACAGGATCATACTCTGCAGGTGAGTGAAAATAGGTGCAATGGGAAGAGAATTTCTAAGAAAACTAAAAGTATTTAAAAGTAAAATTTAAATTAACCCTATTCTGAATGGTGTGAATGCAATTGCATACAATACATCTAGGCAGAGTTCAAATATTACAAAATGTTTATGAATGAAAAAGTGGTTCCAGGCACCTATACAACAATATAATTTAAATTTGCAATATAACCACTTATCTTCTTAAAAACAATTTGTTAATATTATAAATTCATTAAAGGGTTTCTAGATATACCATCCATAAAAGCAAATAATTAATATTTATTCATAATAT